AGAAAGGAAATTGACTTTTTATGAGTGATTCATTAATACTGAATTGGTTTAGTTATTACGGCAGACAGAAAAATAAAAACGGGTATTTGTGTCTATATTTCTAAAGAGCTGTTAAGAATGGGAATTGTAGTCAGTCTGCATTGCGGATTTTGAAAATGGATTAATATCTTGGTATCAGGTCGGTTTTCTAATGGCAAGTACATCTCCGGGCTTTTAATATGGATTTCATCCATATTATGACACGTCATAGATTTCAATCTGTATACTTGTGGAAAATCTCAAAATGAACAATTAATGTAATTTTGGTTATCAGTATCTAATAAATATGACACTTATCAGTATATAGACAGCAGAAATTAATTAAAAAAGTTATTAATTAACAAAATGCAAATGATGTAGCAGCAGTGTTAGGCGGGTGTAGGGTAATACATTGCGTGAGTTGGTCTGTTTCTTTATCTCCTTACTAGATTCTTGTTTGTCTCTCCTGAGCTTGAGGCATCATGGAAAATAGATGATACTGTTTATGAGAAGCTCTTGTTGCTTTTTGCACTTTACTGTTCTTTTATTACAAACCCATTCCTGTAACAGTCGCACCCCAGACTTTTTGTATATGCCCTAAAGGTCTGTATATTTTTGTTTCTGAGGACTGATAATGTCCTGATGTGAACCTCTGCCTGTAAGGTATTCCTCTTGGAGGAAATGGATTATTCTGTTGTAGTCAAATGATTACACACCTGCCCTATTAAGGCTCCAGTTATGTTGAGCCAAAGACAGGGGCTTGAGTGTTGCATTGGACTGGTCCTCTGCAAAGTGCTGTGTGCAGGATCCCTCTTGTAATAATGTTATGTCTCTTAAGGCAGTGCTATCATGCTATCTGAGCCACAGCTGTGTGGATGTTAATGTTAATTGCTGTTGATAAAGGGTTAAATGTTGCAAAGCAGGCTTCCTTCTCTTGCGCTCTTGCTGTCTGACATATTTATTGACAATGTGAGTGTAACTGGCTTTTGTGCCATAAACATAGATTGGGCATATCTTTGAACACTCAAACCTTAAAATTGAAGATAATTAGCCAATCACAAATAGCTCCATCCTCTGCCATTTTGCCTGTATTTTTATTGCATTTTTAATAGATTAAATAAAAATTGTTTTATCAAATGCATGAACATATACATAATACTGTTTTTATGTGTTTATTTTTTAAAATAATCATTCATTTATTTAATATACACTACATAGATGATTATCTTTTACTTTGATAGTGACATGCTGTTTTGCCAAGGAATAGAAAGTAGAAAGCTGGAGTTCATTGCAAGACATCTTCTGGCCTCAAGGCTTAGGGCTGCTCACTGAATTACCCCTGGGGCAAATAAAGCTGTTCATGGCTATGTTGCTGACTATAAACATGCTGTTCTACTGCACTGGGACTGAACAGCAGTCCTTCTTGGCACAGAGATGACAAGGATATGGACCTCTGGTGGTGGGGCAGGAGACTGGCCACGCATTGTAAACAGTGAACAAGTTCTGTTTGCTGTTTTAGGAGCCAGCAGATAGGATTCTTAATGCCTGCCAGCATATGAGTCAGAGGTGTGCAATTCATGCAAACACAGGACAGTAGTACAGTATTTGGTAGTTTTAATAGCAGGAATAGCAATTTTAGTAGTAGATATGGACATTTTAGTTAGCACAGTATGTTTGTGCTGTTCTGATTTTCATTCATGGCTTGCAAGGCCGGAAGTAGGTTCTGTTAAACAGTTGTAAGGAGGGGTGTATCTATGTCTCTGTGCAAATTGAGCATGCAGCAGTGCTAGTGGTTAGTTTCCTGATAGATAATAGTTTGTGTTAAGTTTGATCAGCAGAGCTGGTAAAAGCTTGGAGGAGTCCATTAGTCCTAATGTCCTAGGTTTAAATGCAAGTACAAATCCCTTATGACACATATGAGTGGTGTGTGTGCACATGTACAATACTTAGGTCCTCAGACATGGTCCGTAATACTGGTTGAAATGCCCGTAAGTATTCTTTCCAATGGACAGCAATTGCAAGCTTTTAGTGTGAAAGCGCTCGTGAATAATTTAGCTGATATTATTTGCTGTGGTTTACAAAACATGCTAGCACCCCTGTAGGTCTAAATGCACTTCCTTCATGGAAATCTATTGGGAGCCCATCTTTCATTCGCTAATTGATGTTGACGCTTCTCTGTTAGACACTCCCTTTTGGGAAAAAAAAAAGGTAGTCCTGCATTGCTGACCGCAGTAGGTTTTTATAAGAGCAGCGTGACAAAAATTCCTCTTTCATGAGCCGACCCCAAAGAAACCGGGTAAGTTTGCTCTGTAATTACAGAGTTGATGAGGTTAACCTGTGTTTGATGGTAAAAGTTGCCTTGCCAGTGCATGGAGGATGATGCCTGTATCGTTTCCCTCTTCTTCTCTCTGGATCTGCAGGGCTGTGGTCTAGGCTTTGGAGGAATAGAAGGGCATCTAAAAGCTGACATGGTATAAGTTTGCATTTAGGAATTTTTGAAGAAATAGTTGTGCTTTATCAATGTTTTCAGATCATCATACTTTATTTTAATCTTTCATTTATATAGCGGTCTAAAGTTTAAGCCCCTGTATCTATGTTTGGCTTTTATTTTCCTGAAGATGCGAGCTGTGCTTCAAGTAGAAATAAGAACCGTCTAGCTCGAGTCCTCCTGCTTTGGTGTTCAGGAGTTCATTAGGGCAGTCTTTGTAACTGAACAGATTCTTCTGTGGTGCAAGTCAATGTGGTCTGAGAGGGGCTGAGAAACGCGGACATGAAAATAGGTTGTGAGTTATGTTTCGAGGTTAAGACTATCTGAGATAAAGCCAGCTGCCCCAAGAAAAGTATCAGTAAACTTTTTCTGTACCGTACTATATGTCAAAAGGACATTTAACAATTGGTCTTGGTAAATCAGTTGCTTTTAATGGAATCATTAGTTATATATAATTACATTTGGTTAAAGGAATAGTATTTTTTATGTCATGATCTACATTGAAAAAGATTAAGCTGACCGTTTCCTTACTTGGATCTCATTTTGAATGCATTACTTGAATGTTCTGAGGATTTCTTTTCATTATAAATATCAAGTAAGTTTATTGTTTCAAACACGAATGCAAACGATCTGCATTTGAAAGAAACCTGATTTGGAAGTGAGTGCGATGGCCATCTTCTCCCTGGGATTGCGTGGCTGACAAGACTGCACAGGTGCCCATTCAGAGACATTAGTGTCTGTCTGGCTACTGCTAAATAGTTATAGGGCTGTATAATTAAACATAAAACGTGGCAGAATATAAAATATCACTAATAATACAGACATGGTCATGGTGATTTTCATTTCAATTCACTATCTGATTTTCCTGAGGGACCATGGCAAGTAATGTGACATCATCCCTGTTCTACTGGAGTATTGAATTATTTTCCTCTGACAGGTAGAAGATCAGGTGCTCATATTTTTTATACCTCTTTTAAAATGTTGTTGCACAACAATTAGGTAAGCTATTGTTTTTCCAAACAATATTAACTTCAGAATCCTAAGTTACTGAACACAAACGTTTGAAATGCAATGCTTGCAGTAATAACCTGTATTTTAGGGCTGGCATGATATTCTAATTCTAAACAGAATGTGTAGCGTATTTCATGACTAGATTCATTAGTTATTTTATTTATGCATTCTTGATCAGTATTGATACTGATTTAAGGAACAGTTGCCTACTTCAGCAAAGCATGTTGTGCATTTGAATTGCCCAACTCAACTATTAGATCACAAAGTAAAAGTAATGACAAAAGAGGTTTATTTTTTTATCTGTGAAAAACTGCTTTTTGACATGAGTTTTTACATACACGTCAACACTCTATCAGATTTTTCCAACAAGTATCCATTGGGATCCACCACTGATGTGTATGTTAATTCTTGGCTCCTCTCTGATGTAGCAAGCTTTGTGGTCATTGCGTATGACTATTACTAATGCTGCATACTGTTTGAAGCTACGGTAATAAATACCAAAATGTGGATTAATTGATATTTTTTCCTCCATCAAAAGTGTTCGACAAATATACCAGAAGTTCAGGTATTTTTTGGACAAAAGTGTAACAGCTCAGTATTGTGAATGTCCCAGTCCCATTGTGCTGGCCGGCCTATCTAAGGACTAGATGGGTATTCATTTAAACCTCTGTGGCATTGCTTTTCAGCAATGTAAAGTACCTTCCAACATTTTAGGTTTCTGTATACGCACACAGAGACGGGGACTGATGGTAAACCTAATTTCTGCGGCCTGTGGTACTCTCTGTGCTGGGCTATTTTTTGACTATCACAAGTTAACAGACAGCTTTAGCAGGAATAAAGCTAATAGGGTGCTGGCCAGTTCTCAAGAGATTTGTCATTCCACTCTCCCCTTCTACCCCCTCCTGAAATTGCAATAAAAATTACCCCAGAACAATGACTTTGCATGCCTGGCTGCAGATATCCCTTGTTGTTGCCACCACAGACTAATTCTTTGCATGTGTTTGGTTTAAGCTGTCTTTTGATTTGCACCTTAAGTACACACTGGTTACCTGAAGCCACCTGGAGGAGTCCTATCGTTTTAACTTGGCTATTGTGCCCCTGTCTCTCAGAGATGGAGGCGATCTGACAGAGACGAGCTCTAGTTACATGATGCATGGCCACATGGTTTTTTTTGCTGCTGCCTGGAGCAGGAAAACTTTTTTTTTTCTCAAAGCGGGTGCTATTTAAAGGAATGGCTGTGGCCGCTTGTCCCTCTCCTGGTACCCGCTCGCTCGCTCTGCCTCTCTCTGCTGGCTGGCACCTGGTGCCGCGGGCGGGAGAGGAATGTTTGCTGCGCACAGGAGCAGCCTCTGTGAGGTGCGGGGCGGGCACGCTGGGGGCAGGCTGAGCCGTCAACAGAGTCTCCCTCACGACAACCTGCAGATCCCCAAACCAGCGGGCGCCGGCAGCGGCATCAGGAGGAGCAGCAGCAGCGGCAGCAGCAGCGGCGGCGGCAGCAAAATGCTGTCCATGTCGTACAGCGAGAGCGTGCGCAGCGGCATTAACCGCTACCACTCGGACCTGGGCCTCAACCAGCCACGCCACACCGACCAGGCCGAGCTGCAGAGGCTGAGGGAGGTGCGGGCGGCGGCACAGGTCAAGAACATGGAGGACTTCCTCAAGATGAACGGCCTGTCGCTGGAGGACTGTGTAGCCTACCAGACAGGCATGAAGTACAGGTAAGAGCTAGGCGCGTTAACTACTCGAAGGACTTACAAGCAGGTGTCAGGGCTTCTCCAGTCCCCAAATTACTGCCGGGCTCTTATTTTGGCGAAACTGACCTTGGCTTCTCTCTTTTTTTTTGATGCTCTTCTGTCGCACTTGACATAAACGCTGATGATGTACTCAAGTAGTTCATTTTGCGGCATGTTCCATTCATGAATTCTCATTCATTTATTTCTTGGGAAAAAGTGAAGTCTTCTCTTTTGTTAAAAAAAAATGTGCTGTAAATGAGGTTTTTAGTGCTTTGCACATCTTCCACGGAAGTTTTCTTTGCATTTTTGGACAGAATGAGAAGGATGGAAATCATAATGTGCCGTGATGCCGTGACAGTGCTGCAGTATGCAGCCGTGGCTGAGCTGGAGATGCAGTGGGCTGTTGCTTGCCCCATGTCCCAGATACGGCACTGATGTCCGGGGCGCTGTCTGGATGTTTTATTTTAATAATCTGGGTCAGTAAGCACTGTGTGCATTAAAGGGAGGTCTTGTTTAAGGAGAAGGAGAAAAGGTAATGTACTTTACACGAACAGTGGTGCACTTAAGCCAATAATTTCAGGGACTTGAATTTTCATCTCTGTCTTTACAGATGCATAAGGCAGGTGACATCTGTCGTACCATCGATCTGGTTTTTTACTGGTGGCAGCAGTCACAAACTAGTTCATATTTGAGTTGGCTGTTATAGTGCTGTTCCCCAGATAACTATGAGACTAATAACTGTTCTTAATGGGAATCTTACTTCACAGCAGATCTCCTTTTATGAACCATCAACAGCGCATTCCTCTCATTGCTGTCTGATGGGGTGTGTGACTTCTGCATTGCAATCAAGTGACTTACTTCATAGCTCAGTAGTCTAAAATGCATGGGCATTTCAGTGTGAGTAACAGTGCACTTTGAGCTGGGAAGTATACATGAGAACACAACAGGAATGCTAATTTCCAAAGAAAAGATTTAACTCTGAAACTGATGAGGCAAAAAGCAATCTGCTGAAACTTTAAGCAGTTAAGTGTCTGTACTCATTTTTCTATCAATGTTCAGCATCCCAGCACGACCGGGAAAAGAGATGTACTCTTAGAAGATTTATTAGCATACTATTACAGCAGTACTGAAAGGTATAGGAAAGCAATGCAAATATTGAATATCCTTTTTAATTAGGCTCTAGACATGTAGTTTGCTGCCTGGTTAGGTTTTGTGCCCATAAATGTATTCCTTGGAGGACGTTAATTTTGTAGCTGTCAATATCACTCAGTTTAAATTATGTTCATTATAAAATCCATCCATGTTTTAGAAATTCATTTATGCATGCTTAGCTTTATGAAGCAATTATTTATTATGATGTAGTAGAGTTGAGGGGGTTTCTTGCAGATGAGCTGTTTGTGTGTATACTTTCTATAGCTTGTTGAAAAATGTTAATGAAGCTTTTCCTTTTATCCAGAATGAGAGAGTAGCCCCCCAAATAATATAATTGCATTGAAAAACACAGGACAAATCCTGTGATTGTTGAAATGACTTAAGATTTTAAACCAGCTTATTCAGGACAGTTACTGACTCTTTTCAAGTGAAGAGCTAAATCCGCCTTTAAAAATATCCCTTGAGCTCCTATCTGGAAACTGGGAAAAAGAGATCAGTGTGTCTTCAATAGAATGTAGCTCCGTGTGTACAGCTTCCTGGTGCCCTTCTGTTGAGTGCATGCAATTAGTTCAATTTTAGTCCTTTTTGGTCTGTTAAAATACTTTGTACTTGACAATGGCAGTGGCAAATGTGTATTGGAAAAGATGCAAAAAGACCCCTTTTTTTTTTTAAACTTTTCATTCCAAAATTCAGCCCATTAAAATTTAATGATAGCATGTGATTATTGAGATTTTCTGAATAATTGTTGAAAAGCAAAACACAGTAATAAAAAGAGATTTGTCAGTGCTAAGCACTAAGATAAACAGGTCTTTAGTGCTTCTGTGCCTTCTCCATGGACACATTTCTTGAGTGATCAGCCCTGTTGTGTGACTTGTGGTGTAACTGGTTTATTTCCAGAGTATATACAGTACAGTAGCTTCGCTTTTCAGTCCAGGTTACATATACTCCTCATGGCTTTACTATAAAGCATAGCCATTCTTCCATGAAAGGCTGATTACATTACTCACATCAGTAGGTTATTAAATTACAGATTCGCTGCCTGACTTCTGAGATTCTGGAAAGAGAATTTGTTGAAGGATGTAATTAAGACATTCATAGCCCTGTTTAACACTATAATGGCTTAATAATCCAAAAATATATTTTAGTCCAGAATTGCCTGTCTTTTTCTGCAAACCAGTCTTCTCAATTTTATAGTTTCTTCGAACTGGTAGCTGCTACAGTATATTAGGGTCATTCCATGTCAAATCAACCAAAATGTTTGTGACAATGTCAGATTTGAATGGCAATCGGTAGACTTTAATAAAGGCAGTTTTACAGCAAAGAGTGACATTTGAGCAATCAATTCCTACTAGTTTCTGACACATGAACCACCCCTTGTTCGTCTTTGGGAAAAACCACACACTGCTTTTTAAGCTACAAAATTTAGAAATGCTATTGCATATAATACCGCCACCAACTTCTAACCCAGATCTTAAAATGTCATTTTGGAATCCTTCCCCATTCTTGAGATAAAATAATGATATTGGAAATTCTTTTTGATGGGTAGAAATGCATTTACTATAGTTTATCATATCAGAGTTGGATCTCTGATGTGGATTCTGTATAGACAGGTGGATACTGTACATAATGATTGACCTCTTGTATGATCCTGATTGAGGCAAGGGACATGCTTTCATACACACTTGAGGCCGGTATTCTGGACTTGTTAATGATAACACTGGTAAACTCTGCTTCTTCCAGAATTCCAGAGATGTAATTTTTTTTAATATACGGTATTGTTGGTATGTTCCCCAACTGTAGCAAGATATTATACATATACAGCAGTAAGTTTCATTGCGTTATTTCAGTTGGCACAAAAGTGTAATGTTCCTCTTCCTTCTGCAGTGTTGGTTTTTATCAGGACAGCTATAGAGCCGTTACTGTACCTACTGTTGTTGCTGTGGTCAGGTTACAGTCCAAAAGAAAGAAGGCATTTAGTATCTGTAGTTAATCCTAGTATCCATGTTATTGTAAATAGTTAAATATTTGAAATTTGCTCACTGTAATATATCAAATTTTACTATTAGAAAGTATGTCTTGATTAGCTAATATAGTAGCTCCACAAACTTTGTGTCAGTCCAACTCTGGTAGACTATGTGAACTTTATATTGGCACCTCATAAACTTTATATAAGGCACCTCATATTTTGAATTAAATGGGAAATACTTATTAATAATGGCCAGGAATATGATGTTTTCATTTAAATTCTTAATCACCTGCCTTATGTAATCTTTCAGACTCTTTGCTTGTGGTCTAGAAAAGCAGGCAAACCTGTTATATGAATGTGAGATTATGCTATTGTCAGATGTCTTAAGTCGCCATGGGTTTTGAAGCAGGGTGAATAATCACTGTTTTGTAACCCACTGTAATTTTCAGTTCTTCTCTTATTATTAGAGAAGATATTAATCTTAGTATCTCTTAATCTTAGTATCTCTTAATATTAGTTCCTTATCCAGTTTTGTACAAACATTTTCTGGACTTTCCTATATGTACACATATAGTGTTTGTAAAATGTTCTTGGGACATTTAATTGTGTTCAAGACAGTGTTGTGTGATTGTGTCCTTGAACCATCTTGTCTTCTGTTCCCCTCTCTGCATTTTTTATCAAGTCTCCTTATTTTGTTTTTGTTTTCCTAGTTGATTCATGTGTTCTTTTGTTGTCCTGTTGATGCGGAAATTATCACCTTGCGAAATGTGATACCATCTTAATTAGATGAATCTCCCTTGAGAGTAATCGAGTCACCTCTCTCTGTAATTGAGTCACCTTTAAACAATGTACTGTATCTTGATCAGCCCCTATTCATTAAATCAGGCTGAATCAGGTCAAGACAGAAACATTCTCCCAGAACACTGGCAACCTGCAGCCAGCAGCCTCCTCCCTGATACTACTTGAAGGCGTTGTGGGTAATGACAGGTAGATAGCTGTGCCAGAACAGTTTGCAACTTGTTTCTACTGCAGTTCACATTCAGACAGGCCTGGGAAATATTTAACAAAGTCCACAATCTGTGCTGTCCAGGGTTCAGCACATTTTACTTTGTAAAGTTCCAGGAGGCTAAGGGAGGAGGCAGGCAAGGCTTTGTGATTTGCAACTTGAGAGGCTACCTGATACACAGCTGTAATTAGGCTACCTGATACACATCTGTAATTGTAAATGTAACACCTACTATTTGTCCTGATGGAAATAGTTTAGCAGTGTTTGCTTGACACAAAGTAGCATGCAAGAACAAGGCATAGGATAGTGCTTTGTTCTTGTGCAAAGCAGACCAGAAAAACGGAGATGTTTTAAGATATTGAAAAATAGATACAATTTCACTAAAGGGTCTGGCTGCAATAAGTCTGAATTTCTTTTTCCATTTAGCAGGCTTTGGACGATCATTTACAGGAATCTAGAAGGAAACCTGCTGACATTGTCTGTAAATATGCCAAATATCCTGTATTGATTGAGTGAGTGAAGTCATGGATGAATTAACTTCGAATTTTGCTGTCCAAGGTGTTTGAGATGCTTAAGTTTGATAATGCAGTACAGTGGATAATGAATCTTTTAATTACTCAGGAAAGGTTGTCCCTTTTTTGAGGTTTGTGGATAAGCTCTTGTCTTTAATCTTCCATTAGTGTTAGTAATCCTACCATTAGATGAGTTTTGCTGCTCTTTAGTGATTCATTTTGCTGGTAGTGCTGACAGCATGGTCTGTCCACTGCAACCAATATCTTCCACCTGGAATCAGGCAGACAGGGCTTCAGCGTGCACTTCAGGCATGACAAGTTCCATTTTCTTTTTTTTTTTAATCAAAGC